TAAAGCCAGCGCTGGCATTTGATAAAACAAAAACACAAGGCTACGTCTGAAATTATACATGCAAATACATTTAAAATGATTAAGTCTTAGCCTACTTACTGCTGCCTCTGGTTTTAAAGTTGGAACTGCTTCATGTTGAAAAAGTTTCTTGTTGAATCCGGCATTGAATTTGTGGAGATTCTGGAAGCTGTTTTTCGTAAAATGTGCAGCACAGAGAGCTATGTTATTTTCAGGAACATAATCAAACATAAATTGTATCCATTGTTGACGAACTACAAAGTTCAAGGGAAGCCTGAACACAGAAGACCTGACAGCTGGCTGAAAAGAACACACTTTCGATGAGCTGCAGAAATATGGCCATGCCCTTTTTTGCATATTCCGGAGGGAGGGATGATGTAAATGTGTGGATTAGTGACGTCTAAAAGCTGTTGTAGTCCCATTCGAGTCGTTTTTGTAGGCATTAAACTTCCTGATTTTTAAAAGACGAAATCTCAGCTTACATTGAACTTTCAGCGCTGCAACTTTGCAGATACTGTTCATGCACCAACTGCAACATTACACACTATTTAAAATGAAAAAAGTGAAATCGCAATAAACCACCCCTTTAAAAAACGCTGTATTCTGCTGCCAGGTCAGTAGTTGGCGATGTCACTTTTTAAAGAAACACTAGGCGCCTACAGACTGAACACGCATGCGCATGACATCATTATTTTTAGACGTTAGAGGTATCATTTTCAAAAACTTTCACTTTGAAAACTAGTTTTCAAAAGTTTGCATTTTCAGGCCCCCAAAACGCTGTCGTCATGTAAATAAGCTGCCAAAACGCAGACAAATGGTTTCCGTTCTAGTTGAAAATGGTGTTTTGTGAACAGACCCTTAAGCCTGATTCAAACAGGACGATTTTAAAATTGTCGGCTGATTTTCCAAACCTGAGAGACCCCACACACGGCGATAAAAAAAAATAAAAAAAATAAAATCACTAGTGTGTGGTGCGCTGCCACTAGTTAAAATCAACACATCATACACGAACCGATTTGACTCCCGAGCATTCCCAGGTCAGACAGAAAATCCCGCGAAAACTCTCAAGGTCAAACGTAATTCCAGAGTAAACAATCATTGTAGTTTGTTTTTAAGCAGAAAAAAAATGTTATCAAAAGAAAAGGCGATGGTCAAAGACAACACGACCATGGACTATTTTGATTTCGCCTCGTCACCTCGCATTCTGATTGGCTACACGCTACAGTCCACCGGCTTCGTGCTTCTTTGTCCCCAGGGGACACCACACACGAGGAGAAATAGGGCCAAAAAAATCCAACATGTTGGATAACCCCGATTTGAGATCGGAGCGGTCCCGAAGTCCTTCCGAGCAGACGACAGCAGTCTTAACACACCACACATGGCAGGAATATTTGTTCAGATTATTTTACGATAATCGGAGCATCCTTAAGATTCATGTCGGAAGGGGTGAATCTGGGCTAAAATCGCCTAATTGTCCTGCCGTGTGAACCAGGCTTTAGTGTCAGCCAGTTATCACAGACGAATATTAAAGCAGCGTAAAAGTAAAGTCTTGGAAGTCAATTCTGGATTAAATTCCCTCAGATAAATATGGCGAAAAAGTAATCGGAGATGCATGGTTGCCATGGAAACATTGACCGCAATTTATTGCCATACAATATGGTCTTTTTTATTACATGAAATAGCTATAATTTAAAACCTTTGAATAACACAAGGGAGAGTTCAAAGTTAACATGCTGCAGGCTTGTTTTCTTTGAAAGCACAATTAGCAGATTTGATTGCTGCTCTAAAATGCAAGGAGCTGAATTTGTTTGAGTTTTTAGAGAAAAGTAACCTCTGCGGCATTTGTGGTAAATTTAATAGTAGTGCTTAGGTTTAGTGATATGAACAAACTCCAAACTGAGTGGATTAGTGGGTCTATGGATGGATGAGTGGATGGATGAATGAGTGGATGGATTGATGAGTGAGTCTATGGATGGATGGGTGAGTGGATGGATTGTTGAGTGCGTCTATGGATGAGTGGATGGATGGATGAGTTGATTAGTGGGTCTATTGATGGATGGGTGAGTGGATGGATTGATGAGTGGGTCTATGGATGGATGAGTGGATTAGTGGGTCTATTGATGGACGGGTGAGTGGATGGATTGATGAGTGGGTCTATGGATGAGTGGGTGGATGGATGGATGAGTGGATTAGTGAGTCTATTGATGGACTGGTGAGTGGATGGATTGATGAGTGGGTCTATGGATGAGTGGACGGATGGATGAGTGGATTAGTGGGTCTATTGATGGATGGGTGAGTGGATGGATGAGTTGGTCTATGGATGAATGAGTGGATGGGTGAGTGGATGGATGGATGAGTGGGTCCATGGATGGATGAGTGAGTCTATGGATGGATGGGTGGGTGGGTCTATTGATGGATGAGTGGGTCTATGGATGGATGAGTCAATGGATGGATGAGTGGGTCTATGGATGGACGATGAGCAGATGAATGAATGGGTGGGTAGGCCTGGATGGATGGATGGATGAGTGGTTCAATGGCTTGATGAGTGGCTGGATGGATGGATGAGTGGATGAATGGATAAGTGGGTCTATGGATGGATGGATGAGTGGGTGAATGGATGGATAAATACTGTAGATGTATGGGTGTAGATGAACTTTGAATTAATATGTAGCTTTCTTTTTAACACTTTTTAAGGTTGTTTCAATATAAACACTACTTTAGTTAACGAAATACAGGTTGTTGTTTTTGTTTGACTGTAACAAGTTTAATCTACCATATTTTTACAGCAATGTTCTGGCAATCACATCTACCAAAATTATTTCCCTTTTCCCTTTAAAAAAGCAACATTTGTAAATTTTTCAAATAACCCCATAAAAGCCCTTTATCCATGGCAGTAGTGTTTCAGCACTTCTGATGCAGTCAGATACTATCTGTCACACTATTTTGTGAAATTGCTGTACTAATAGAATCACAGATAAACTATATGCTCATCCTCGTGTGCATTCAATCTAGACTCTAAAGCAACCAGCTTAAAAGACAGTTGTCCTGAATACAAGGACAAAATATTAGCTTCTTCAAAGGTTATTTGAAAGACCTGATAATATTACCTAGACAGATAATATCTGCAAAAAATAATAATAATAATAATCACAATCTGCGATCATTTATGTAGGCAGGCATCTCAAACCTGCTTGTGGTTAATATGACGTTATATGTTCATTCAAATATGAGGCTGCCTTAAGTTTGTTAATTTATCAAACATTCTCAGTCTAGAGATATTTAGATCGTTTCAATCAGCAAGCAATGCCTTCATTTTTGTGTAATGAGTAAATGTTCACCCATCTGTGAGAGGCCAGTATGTGTGGGTTAATTAGCTGGATCTATCATGCCTAATGAAATGGAAAAGTGAAACACATTGACCCAAAATCTGTAGCACTGAATTTCTTCCAGTGAGCAATTGAGATTTGATCAAATTTATTGAAAAATTAAAGTGCATATTTTGTACCAAAATGCAGCAGATCCTTGTCAATAATTAATGGAGCATTTCTGGCAGGAGTTAAGATAATTCTCAACCTCTCTGGAGGATGTTACAAGACGGCAGGTTTAACAACACTCCAGATGTGGTTTTGGTAGAGATATGTCTTAATTTGTGTTAACAAGCGTGAGATTTCATATTTTATAAGTAAAAGATTGTTTTCTAAGATCAAGTCGGTCAAATCAATGAGACGGTCATGGAATAACAGCAATAGTTTGGGAATATTGTCTGTGGCAATATGCTTTGTGTGCTAACCTGCTTGCATTCTGCACCACAGTGCTTGTAAAATGCATCAGGACACCAGCCATGATTTGGGTTTTTTTTGCTACAAAATCTCTATTTTTCATGGAGAGACAGAGAGCTCTCAAATACACATTGATTTCTATGTACAATTGCAATAAGAGACCACAAAATCACGATATCCAACTACTCTCGTCTCCGAATCATCATGTAAAGCATGTTCTTCGGACACATTCCTTTAGCATTTGTTATGCAACTTTGGAATTAATTGGCAGAGAGGTAAATATTACTAAATTTAAGAAAATAATATAGGAGTCTACAGGAGGAGAGTACAATTTACAATTGTAGTTAAGAGACTTTCACAGCCATTGAGCTGAAATCAGCGTGAAAAGAGTTTCAGAAAGCATTATAGGATCAGAATATAGATGACATTACATTGTGCTCAGGGGGGTGAAACTAATATCCTTTCCATACCGGTCTAATGCAGTTGAATTTACTAATTTAATAAGCATGAAAATAAAGTATGCATAGGAAGACTGATGAGAAACCTTAACTGGGAATAACACGATGAGTTCTGAAATAATGAACACAGAAGGCATGAATCGGTAATTGTCTCTCCATAAAAACCTGGATGGACTGCTGTGAGAGATTAATCATTTACATAAAGCATTTAAAAGAACAATAATTGCAGTTGAACCAATGCTCTCTTAGTTAATTGCTGCTCCCATGTGGTCATCAGTGAAAACAACCACACAAATGCTGTCAATGGGCTAGTCATTTTTCTTTAAAGCAAATATCTGAGTCTTTGTGTTGGATGTAGACCGTGCTATCGTATTTCATGATGGTGTAATGCAATTAATAATTGTGCACACTAAGCCAAACTCTTGGGGAACATGCAATAGTTGCGCTCTGTTAAAGGAATATTTCACCCTCATGTCGATCAAAGCCTATATGGAAAAAACAAACTCGGGGATGACAAAACCTCAGCGTTCCACAGATGCAAGTCATGCAGCTTGGATTGACATGAGGCTGAGAAAATGATGACAGTGTTTTCAACTATTCTTTCATTGAAAATAGAGACACACACACACACACATAGGCTTCCATGTCTTTTGAGACTCACAGGATGCTGATTGAAAGGCAAGCGTGACAAAGAAAGAATAGTTTTCAGTTTCCAAAATTCAAAATTTGAACAATGCAGACCAGCTGGGATCATGAAGCTGGTTTTATTAGAAACAAAACATACAATACTGCTAGAATTGGCTCATAAATATCAGAGCGACAGACAGAAAGGCAGCTTATAAATTCCGCAAGTCTGTGTTTGGAACGGGCCACTCAACCTTGTGGTGAAACACAAACCATCAATAGCAACGAGACGAGAGACGCGCACAGGTTCTAAAAATAAGCCATTGTTCTGCGCTGCTGGCTAGAGGCGGCGTTCAAGCTCTCATGTTTAATTGGCTACATTGGCACAGCTTTTACCTTCCATGACTAGGAAAACAAAAGTATCTGAAGCAGGTGTGCTAAAAAGAGCTAGATTCACTCCCTCCGTTCAACAAAAGGTCTCATCACAGAGCTTCACACATGTAAACATCAGAGTTCAGTCAAAAAATGTACATCCCATCATTATTTACTCACCCTCATGTTGTTCCAAACCCGTATGCTGTTGTTATTTTTTCTCTCCATTTAAAGTATCGCTGTCATTTCTGCCACAAGAAAAACAATCAAATAATCGATATGACTCATTCCAGGTTTTCTGAAGCCGTACGATAGACCAAACAGATATTTCATGTCTAGTTTGCAAAAATGGTGCAAAAAAAGCCATCAACCAAAAACGGCATTGTTTTTTGTTTGTGTAGTAAGCAACATACCATTTTTTTTTAATTTTGGAGGAAAATACTAGACTGTGAATTTAAGGGAAATGCTGACTAGACAACTAGAAAGTTATCATATGGCTTCAAAAAAAGTCCCATGACAAAAAAAAAGGCAGCATATGGGTTTGGAATGGCATGAGATTGAGTAAAGAATGAGTGAATTAAAACTGTGTAGCCACTTCACTCACTTAAGTAGATAAATTCATTCTGATTACATCAGGACAATATATTTGTTTCTGTTTCATACTCAACATGTAGTGTTATGAGGATGCGGTGTTTGCCATTTTTTGTCGCAATTAAATATTAAAGAATGAAACTTCCATTCACGAATGACTTTTTAAAGGTCTGGGCTCCATATTTGGAAGATGGGAAATAAACTGAGAGCAGTGCCAATGTAATCCTGCTGGCTGTGTGTTACTGACAAAAAGATTGACGATTGAAGGCTCTTAGGCAGCGCTGGAAACTGCCAGCTTTTTCAGATGATCCATAAACACCTGAAGACTCACGTCGTCTGTCAGAATGGGTGCGCCAGACTCCTACACAAACACAGGAAGTGGGATATAAGCAGTGGCGGTGAATATTAGAAAAAAAGACGTTTACATAGTTGTATAACAACAGCTCGTTACAGTAGACTAAGGCGTAAAAAAAAAATTTGTTTGTTTCCGGTTTCCGACCGACCCTGTCAATTTATGTGCGACCCAAAATTATTTTATGAGCTTGGGGAAGAAATAATAAAAATTAAATAAATACACAAATAAAAAACTCTGAGGCGAACTATTAAATTTACGTTTTTGTACAGCTCCGTCTTTTTATAGCACGCGATATAAGTCTTGTCCTAAGATGCATCTTGTCATCTATTAACAAACGAGGCAGATATCGTTCGTCAAACTGAACTATAATACATATTATACAAGTCTTTTTTTTTGTAATTTAGGATATTTTTATTCATATTCGCACACATACAAATACATGCATTCATAGGCATGCACACACCACATAGCCTACTAATACCTCCATCCGCCTAGTTTTATTAAAAAATCATCCTATCATGATCCAATCATGATCCCAATCCCATCTTCTGCTGTCTAGCACTTCTTTCGCCATGTATTTGTTCGTTTCTTTCATTATTTTATGCAATCCAAAACACTCTAACCTGCCGCGGTTCGTATCTCTAGAGCCCGTCTAACTTGTCCGCTTTTCCGGGACAAATGGAAAGTAAAAAGAGAATTTTACTTGCCCCAACGGACAAGTAGCCTGATTAGAACATCAATAACAAACAAAAAAAAAAATAACTAGGGAATCACTAAACCGAGAGAATGATTCTTATTTTATTACATTTATTGCAAGTTGCGATCGATTGTGGATAATAAATGTAGCAGGCCTACTGATGGTAAGGTTGCGCTGTTGACGCTCGCGCAGAGAAATCTACACACATGAGCGGAGCACACACACAGTTAACAACATATTCTGCCTATAAAAAATCTAAATGTGGAGTTTTTATATTATAACATATGTTAAGCACTAAGCAGCCTAAATTATTTTTCCTAAATACCATCACGATTGAAAAAGTGACATTGATTTCCTACAACAGTTCAATAAACAGTTAAGATTAAGTCACTTACTGTTTATAAGCAATATTGGGTGTTTTTGTTCCATTTCAGCAGCGAAAATAGTTCCAAAGAAAAGTCACAGCAGAACCACGACGCATCTCACAGGAACTCATCCTGTTTTCATTACTGAATGATTCAGCATTTTGAACGAATCGGTTGAGTCAAGGATTCAATGACCCATTCATAAACATCAACATCCGTCTCATTCTTGAATGAATCAACCGTTTGAACGAATCGTTTGAATTAATGAATCAATAACTCACTCATTTATACGGCCGCCTGCCGCCACCTATTGGCAGTTTAGTGTTATGTTTATAAGTAGCCTAGTATAATTCTTTCCAATATTTCTTATTTGCACATTTAAATCAATTTCATAACATTATTTTATGAAATTGTAATTTTTCAGTGTAAATGATTTAATTTCATCAGCCCTACCTAGGGTAACAGTATGCTTCATCTTTCATTTTAAATTCCTAAATTTGATCAATAAATTCAATTATTTAGAATAATAAGACACTATAGGGCATTTAATAATATTGGTGGAGGGGATGCCCTTAAAGGTGCAGATATTACAATTTGCCTTTTAAAATATCAAAGCTGATTGAACACTGATGAGAATATTGCTTCAGAATAAAAAATAAATAAATTTTAAAAATCCGGACAAGCAACTTTTTTACTCGGACAAGTGATTGACAGATTTACTTACTTGTCCGGAGGACAAGCACGTGAAAAGGCTTAAGGGTTCACTTTGAAATTAATTTTTGATATGTTTTAGCTTAACTCAAGATGTAGGTGTCTTTGTTTCCACAGTAGTTTCAATTTTGATATTTTTAGGTTTGACTATCCCTTAATTGTCGAGCCCTGAATAATTTCCTACCCATCCCTTGCTGCCACTGAAAAAAAAAAAAAAAAAAAAAATCCCTACCGACCCATGACCTCAACTGACAACCAACCGGAACCAAACTTTTTTTTTTTTTAGGCCTAATCAATATTCCTCACAAAGGAAATGTTCTTGTGTCGGTAAGATATACAGCACTCACCTGACCCCATGCATACATGTTGTTGTGAGTCTGAGAAGGATTCACTTTGGAGAGGAGGAAACGAGCCTGGAGGGAAAGAAACATAAATCGTGGTAAAATTTCAGACCATAAAACCAGTGTATTAATATGCAGAACAGTTGCCAAGTCTCAATGACCCATTAAAGTCATTTATTCACAAGCAGCATTTAAAAATCCTCCAGGGCGAGTTTCTCAAGCGTAGAAATTGACTGAAGAGCTGTCAAAAAAAACTGTTTTCAAAGTAGCACCTTCCATTTGAGCTGTCATTTATCAAGGCTTCAGAAAATGGAGGTGGTTTTGTAAAAGCAATTTATAAATATTAGCACTGACTATCTGATCTAAAAATTACTGATTCAAACTGTCATTTGCCATTTAACAACATGGCTCTTTCAAACCAAATCCATTATTTAAAAGAATTGATAGATCTTGCTGTAAAAATCGGTTGTAAAATTGCCGGTAGGCCTACACACACACAAAATATTGAACATCTATCTTTGTGCGGACATTAATTGACACAATGCAATCTCTAGCCGCTTACACTAACCTTACCTATCACAATTAAGTGCCTAACCCGAACCTTTACCATGAACTTAATTATAATCTTACCCCTAAAACCAAGTGTTGACCCTCAAACAGGCCTTTAAAGGGGTCTCGGAAAGTGAGGACCGGCAAAAATGGTCTAAAAACTCAAACTGGTCCTCACAAGATAGTTGTATAAGTACAGCGCGCACACACACACACACACGCTTCGGGTTCTCATGTGTGCCCAAACATCAGCTGAATTCCATATTTAAGAGCCAAGTGCACTTAAATGTTGCTGCAACACAGCCAAAACATCTTTGCGTTTTTTATGCTGCTTGGCAACCATAAAACCTCCATCAGGCTAATGAACTAGATTACTTGGCAGAAGAACTGCTTGTTTGTTTGGGTTTTCTTATTATAATTAATCAATTTAACTGTTTATTGCAAATGGGCATCTTTTATATTGTAACTGTTCCTACCATTCCATTTAGAAAAAGCAATAATCCACCATGGTAGTGTGATTTTTAGCACAATTAAAAGGATACTTCAGGATTTAGCACTAAGCTTTGTATTAGTAGGAAACCTGTAGTATTTTCAAATTACCATGATTTCCACCCTCATATCCCCCTGAGACGAGAGATTTATGTATTTTTTGTCTGAAAAAAATCCTCCGATGACGGAAAAATCAGCATTTTGCATCATCGAAGGATTTTTTTGCCAGAGGCTAAAGACTACAGCCACTAGTAGGAGCCGTCCCGCATGTTTTCAACCCGCCCATAGTGGATGGGATCTCATTTACAGAATGTACACATAGTGTCAACCATCTTTTTTTTTTTTTTTTTGGAAGCTAAGCTAGCAGGCTCTTGTTCTGTGGAGAAGTAGTAGGTAGGGTTACCATTCATCCTCTTTTTTCCCGACAAGTCCGGCCGGAATTAAATTGCTTGATTCATATGGATTTATTTTACGTTGTCTTTATGAATGTCCGGCCACTCCTCTGTGAGCGATACAAGACCGGTGCGTTTCACAGTTGTCGCTCATCTGTAATCACTCCACCGGCCTGCGCCGTTCCCTCGCGGCCCTCACTCATCCTGCTCGCCACAGTAAACATAATGAATGCCGACGTAGAACGCAAAAGCCGAATCCTGGACATTTTGGTGATCTCGAAACACATTTTCAGGGAGACTCATCACAGAGACTCACTAGCCTAGACTTCTGCGTACCTTCTAATCTAGAG